CTCCGGGGCCAGGAGCTCAGTGGCCGGGCAGGATGGTCCCGCGGACCACATCCGTAGTTTGCCCACCTCTGGTGTATTGCATGGAGTTCCAGACAGGTGTGGTTCCTGGTGAACAAGGCAGACAAAAGTGGAATGCGAGCAGGGTGGAAGCCTGTTTGTTAGTGCTTGGAGCTGGCAGCTGTTTTGTTTAAACAAACGCTTCCTGTTTAAGACGGGCCGTGATTCCTTATGTCCTGACGGCAGGGGGCTGGAGGAAAGCTGGGTAGGGTATGTGGCTCGCAGATGGGATCTCAGACTTCAAGGAGGTGTTTAGCGGGTCTGGATACGTTCTGTGACTCTGGGCCATGCTTCCCGGGCTGAGGGGAACTCCCGCAGGGCACTGAGCGCTCCACATCACCCTTGCCCATGTTCCCATGCCACCTGAGGGCCGCTCCCGACAAGCCCTGCCCCAGGCACCCCGTGGCACTGACCCATGTTCCACGTGCCGATGAAGACGGAGATCATGTCGGGCTCGTCCTGCTTGGAATGTTTGTTTTTCATCAGCTGCAGCAGCTGGCAGAACGCCTCCCGCTTCTGGAGGAAAGGCAGGCAAAGGAGGCAAGTGTGAGGAAGTGGGAATGTTCTTAATGTTTTCTCTGAATACCGTGTGGGTGCCTCAGTTTCCCCTATGCCTTTCTTAAGTATCTAGGTGGGGGGATAAGGGTGTGTGACTGTTGCAGAGCCCTAGGCAGGTGTGATGCTGTCTGCACAGAGAATGGCCGACACCCTGTCTCCTGGCAACTGATGGCCTGGGCCCCTCCCCTGCAAGTGCCAACTGAAGGTGTTGGAGAACAAAGAGATCAGGTGGCCTCCTGGCCCAGAAAAGAAACGAAGGCCAGAGGAGGGGCTGGAGGGGGTTTCAGTTTGGAGCTGGCTGGGGAAAAGGGGGGAAGCGCCACCGGTCTGGGCTCCTTGACCCCCAAGATGGACCTGAGGGGGTCCTGTTTTCTGTACCTACAAGTTCTGTTTTGGACTGTAGTCCTGTTGTTTAATAAACCATCTGTTTTACTGGCTGGCTGAGAGTCATGGTGAATCGCAGGAAGTGGGGGGTGCTGGGCCCTGACTCCCTTATACTCCGTGACTGTAGGTTAGGCAGCAGGAGAAGATGGGCCATGGACAGGAGACCCAGGTACAATCCCTGGTCGTGGCCACCCACTCGTCAGTCAGGAAGGGCTCGGACAGGTAAAGGCTATACAATAGTTCACCCATCACTGGAATGCAGCCACCTCCGGGGTGGAACGTGGTTTGTGTTTAACAGGGCACAGCAAACTATGCAGCTGTTTAGGACAGGAAGTGAAGAATTACATAACCAGTTACCGGGGGGAATCTGGTGCCGGGGCATGATTAATGGTCATGTGTGGTTGTGGCCTTGGTTTTAAAGGCAGCACCTCTGTACCCCTATTAACTTGCTGGGCCTCCGTTCAACTCACAGACCCATCTTGGAATCTGAGTTAAGCTGGGTCCTTTACTTCTCCTGCATCATCACTAGCAGTAAAGATTTTGTAGGAAACCATGCCCTGGAATGCAACCCCTTTTAATCATGCCCTCGGTGACCCTCGGGGTGGCCAAGCTGTGACGCCCCTGGGGTTTCTGCAATTGACATTCTGCAGACAGCCTTGTTGATGATGCATAAGGAGGAAGAGACGCCCCGTCCCCCTCCCAGTGCCAGGTTGGCTTTGCAGGAGTGAAGACGGCCTGTCGTCACTGCAGTCAGCTGTCCTGGGAAGATCTCCTAAGACAGGGTTTTGTTTTTTTTTAATGTCGTTTCTTTCCGGACCAGAACCGCACTCGAATGCTTTAATTTAGCCACATTCCCTTCCTGCGGCCTCGGAGCTGTGTGGGCAGGACCACACCAGACACAGTAATAATAGACCCATGACTCACCCTGGCGCTGACGAAGACAAAATCTTTCCGCTGAGTTTTATCCTTCTCCTTCTCGAAGACGATCCCCAGTTTATTCTGCACCCGCTGGGACTTGATCAGCTGTCGGACTGGAGAGCGGCACAGAAAATCAGAGCAGACGTGACCCCAGAGCCCCGTTCCTCTCCCACCACCCCAGGAGAAAGCCCGAGGCTGCAGAGGCAGCAGGAGAGGGAAGACCCCAGGGCTCCCAAGGCTGGAGGGACGGGCGTGGTGTCATTGGCACACACGGTATCATGCCAGGAGGAGGCACTGCGGGTGAGCGATCAGGTCCTGAGTGACGCAGTTTGGGGGCCAGATCTAATCATTTCTTATCTCTGCATGCTACAGGGCAGCCCCAACACACTGAACACCCCACAGAAACAAGGGGGCCCGGGGTATCAGCAGCGCCAGGAGGGCTGCGGCTGGTCCCTGAGTGCACGGGGCATACGGGCCGGGCGCAGCACCCAGCGGGGGCCCTTGGCTCTTACTCTTGTCGTGGGTGAACGTGTTCCAGTCCTCCTGGGAGTCCTTCTGCTTCTTCAGCACCACCAGCTTCCCGCCCTCCACGTCCACACTCAGCGTGAACTTCTGCGACTTGCCGATCTTGGTGAGGTCCCCCAAGGTGACGTCCAGCTTCACCTGGGGCAGAGAGACAGCCCTGCGTGGATGGGACGCTCGGAGCTGCTCGGGCGGCCACGCCCCGCCCTGGGGCTAACACCACTGAGCTCAATAGAGCTACGCCGGGGAGGAATTTGGCCCCGTGACTAGTCTTCTACCTGGTAGCCCTGGCAAGAGAGACCGCCCGAGATGACTGGCGGGGAGCTCCAGGGTGATGAAAGGTGGAGCCTCAGACAGGACCCCTGCTCTGGCAAGGCCCCCAGAGAGCACCTTCTGCATGAGGTGAATGTGAGACGGCTTCCCGGAGACAGGGATTGTACAGAACCTTTCCCCTGCACTATGTTATTCTGGAGTCAGAGCAATAAACCCGACTGACTCTGGTTATTTGGGTATTAATGAACCCAAGTGGGTCAAGCAGCTGACTACACGATTGGTCACCATTTTCCTTGGTCGAACAGCTGCTTGGTTTGCCCCTCAGCTCTACGGACCAAGAGAAGCTCCATAAACGTGTCGTTCCTGATCCTCCAGGAGCCGGCACGTGCTTCGGAGTGATTCCGGAACAGACACCGAAACAGACACTGCTTTGCTTCTGGAGGGCCAGAGCCCAGGGCTTCGCATCTGAACTCCTTTGGCTAGTCGTGGGGAGAGGGAGCGCTCAGACTGAAACCCTCCAATGCAAATCCACCCCATGGTTTTGGTTCTGGGTTGGCAGGGGAGGAGCGTCTGGTTTAGATACGGTCACAACACTTCTGATGAGATTTTGGTGCTATCAAACCCAAACCCTGGCTCCAATTCCCCTAGAACAATCCCAAACCCGGCCCTGATTCACCTCAGAACAATCCCAAACCCGGCCCTGATTCACCTAAGAACAATCCCAAACCCTGGCCCCGATTCACCCTTGAATCCCGCCTCCATTTCACAGCAGAGGCCCAAACCCCAGACCTTAGCCGTGATCCCTCCTAGAAACCCAGCCCCCAGCCCCCTCGGCTCACCCTAACTCCCGACTCTCTCCAGCCTGTCTCGGGGGCAAACTGGCACGTGATGAGCGCCGTTTCCCGGCTGGGGCGTGGGAGCTTTGGGGCCCAGGCCACGGGGCGAAGACTTTACCTCGAACGCTTGCACGGGGATGCTCTTGGCTTTGCGGGAGGAGGGCTGGGCCAGGGTAGACTGGGCCGTGGAGCTCATGTCCTGGAGAGCTTTCAGAGCCTGGCAGGGGGAGAGAATTGACACGGCCTGGTCACACGCGGCACCTGCCGGGTCCCCCGCTCCCCTCAAAGCCTTTGGCCTGGGCGGGGTCTCCCGGTTTTACCCCTGCCCCTCCCCACCTCCTCAGCCGTCTCTGGGCCGCGCCGTGGGCTGCAGCTGGTTCCCCTGGAGTTCAGCGGCTCCCCCGCACTCCCCGTCAGCGTGACGGGAGGAAAACACGTGGGAGGCGGGAGATCTGCCACCCGAGGGGCCCGGCCCAGCCCCAGTGCGAGCCAGGGCTGGGCCCAGGCAGAGCATTCAACGAGCAGGTGGAGACCGCGCTACCACGCAAAGGCTGGCTGGCTCTGGCGGGGGCTGCGAATCCCAGAGGGCCTGGGCAGGGCTCAGAAGGTGGGGGTCAGACGCACAGGCCCCCCTGCCTGGCGCCATTGGCAGGGAGCTCAGTCCCCCGGGAAGTCGATGGGAGTAGCCGGTGCTCTGCACAGCTGACAGGCACTGTAGAGGTAAGTGGCTATGTGACTTGCCCATGGCCCCCGAGGGAATCAGTGTCAGAGCCAAGAGCCGGCTCCGAGAGCCCCTGGGTCCCAGCCCTGTGCTCAGACCACGGGGTCCCAGCTCCGTCCGGCTGCACGGCTCCGTCCCTCACCTCCACAGCCGAATCCAGCAGCAGCACGACGCAGCTAAGCTCAGCACCGGGCAGGGTGACACCGCCATGCGTCCCCGGAGCCCAGGCCCGCCCCACTGGGCCAATACAGACCCACACGGACCAGATGGGTTTGCGTCTCCAGCCCGTTCTGACACAGGCTGCGGGCGTCCGGGGACCGGGCCCGTTGACCCACCTTCTTCTCGATGCTGGACAGGAAGTCCTTCAGGGCAGACAGCTTCT